ATATTGATAGAAAAAAAACTCAGTGGAAATAGATTTTACTTGCTCATACATGGTAAAAGTATATTTCATAAGAACAATGTAATCTTTGGGATGTTTTCATTCACTAAGGACGGTTGAAAATTATAATTACCAAGAAAAAAACGACACGAACCATATCCTGGCTGCGAAAAACTCAACACCGCAGTGCTTAGAATCACGGACGAAAAAAAACAATTTAGCATCGTAGTCAATGAGACCTGTGAAAAAGAAAATTACCAATATTAACTATTTCATGAAAAAAGAAGTTAGTTAAATTGAATTTCAATCTGGCGTTAAATCGTTTCATTTTATAATCGAATCGTTGTCATCGAAGTAGGTTCAGGAGACAGCGTATTGTTTAGCAAGTACAACAGTCTTAAAGTGCAACATGCGGCACTTGGCGAGGATTAATCTGTACCCAATTAAACTTCTAATCATTGTAAAAGAGGTTGCAGGCCTTCATCTGATAAGAAAACCTTATGCGTTGTGTGCAATTAAAACATACAATTTTCACTCTCGTCGTTCTTTTTATATTCGGGAAAATTTGGTTACACTGTATTCCTTGTGCATTGGATTCTAATTTCGTTTATATCAACTTCTCATCAGTTACAACAAATTTAAATCGCATCTGTAAATTAAGTTACTCCAAGTTGACGAATACTGTCGAATGATCTGAAGGTTTAACTCTTGTGGGGGGGGGGAGGGGTGTTGGTGGGGATGAGAGTTGAACGAGAGAGAGATACGCAAGGGAGAGAGAAAGCTGGAACGGGTAGACGGAAAGTTCATAATGGCAGGAATAAAAGATCAGAGATGCAAACTTTCGATCATTAGTCGCTGATATGCAGTTGTTCTGACTAACTGATGGGAAACGAAAGGCAAATGTGTTGAGGACGGAAGAGCGGGGCGCTTGAAGACGTGAGACCCCCCCCCCTCCCCCCCGACCTGCCCCATTCAGTGAGAAGACACATCACAGTTAACTTTCCATGTGAAATTTTATATTTCTCTTCCTTTTTGTGATTTGCCAAAGGATCGATAAAGGGAACATGGACGGATAAACAATAACTAAAAAAGGGATTTCAAGGTATATTTTACAATGTTTTGATTGTATCTCTAGAATCGAAACGGGATTTCCACGGTAAATATACATTCACAAATATATTATTTCAGAACGAGGAAATTTCCTTTTTTCTCATCAATTCAAAATCAGACAAAGACAGTAAAAGCAACTGAGTTAGGCACAATTATTCCAAAGAAACTTACCTCAACTGAGCTGCTGTTACTTCTGGCTTCTGATCAGAACACGAAGATGTCTTCTGCACTTTCTACAAAGTTTTATCACAAAATCGTGTCCTTTCAAACGTCTCAAGAGAGCTATTGTTATAAAGTAAAGCTGGGGTCCACAACCGCGGCATTCTGGTCTACCTGTAGTTGGACAGCTGACTTACTGCAGAAAGCCATACCGTCACGCTTTTGTTTCTTTTAAAGTCTAATAAGCCGTTTAAACATTGGTTTGCTTGCACTGATCAAACACCTTCTTTTTGAGAGATTTTTTTCTCAGTACTTTAACAATAGTATTTTGTCAGATTCTATTTGATCCAAAACTGCCTTACCGCCGGACAATGTTCACCCATTGTGTGGCAAGAATTGCTTTTGAGAAGTTGAATTCAGGATTTATTCCCTGCAGTTTTTTAAGGAACATCGTAGGGGAGCGGGAAATTAAAACTTGGGTTGCGTCATCAAGGATAGCCATGATTTAGTTACAGAATAAGAAAGGTGGCGAGGTTCGAGGTTTGATCCCTCAAGGGGCTTCAAATGGTTTTTTCTAGCCCGCACTCGTAATAAGACGAAAAAATCATTCCCTGTGATTAGTTACATAAAAAAATTTGTTAGTTTAAGGAAGACAAATGATAAATGTGACTCGTGGAATCCAATTTGACTCTATAGCTAGGATGCAAATTCAGTAATTGAAATATCCGAGAGGCTGTAGAACAAAACTCAGAGGAGACAGTGAGGTTAGCGAGGGTATAAACATACTCTAGATTCTATTTAGATCTGTCTTACGTCCATTTGCAACACCTCCTAAATTTCGTAGGTGACGTTGTTAGAGCGCTTGTGGAGTACTTCTGGTTGGGATAAGACGTGTGCCAATCCTCAACACGTGACGCCAAATAATTTAGCTGTTTGCTCGTACGGCAAATGATGGGACTTTCGTAGGAATATTCATATTATGACATCAAGATCTGACGTCTTATGATTAAACATCTTCAGTCTTTCTTTTCTCTAAGAAGCCGGGAAAAATCAGAACAAATTTCGTTTTTTATTCTAATTATCCTGAATTAAAGAAAGAAATTGGGCGAGGTGAGGCAGAGTTCAAGAAGCAGAGACTGAAGCTAGGAAACCCTTCTCTCCATCTCCCCACCCCCCCCCCTCTTCCTCACACACACTACTTTGACATCTTTCCATCATCTCGTTAGATCCATAACAACAACCGCTGCAGGGTTCCTCCATTCCGCTGCTTTCCCGTTGTCTCCCTCTTTTGCAGCCTGTATTCGTCTACGTGTATCACGAGACCAAGCGTGTTAGGATTGAAATGTTCATCTCCTGCCCCATAAGTACGCCTGTGCAGCCTGTCTCACGACAACGGGGTCCAACGGCTTTGAAAAGGTGTTTAGTCACCGAAGCTTTTACAAATATAAAGACAGCTCCTGATAAGGCATTCAGTTTAAAGTTCTTCACCAAGTTCTACGTTTCTCATCGCAAAATTTAAAAAAACAAAAAAACACCTTCCTTACATGGAATTTGTGAAGAACCTTCTGCTCGCACGCTTATAAATAGTTATCTCTTCGGAGAATGACCTTTCTTCCCTTCACTTTCAAATGAAACCCTTCT